TTTTGGCTCCCCCAGCTCTCCTTAGGGGCTTTTTAAAAAGTTATGGCTGCCGCCGCCGCTTTCGGTGACAGCTGCAATCACCGCGAAGGGGGGGACTGCTGAGCTGCCCTCCCCGCCTTTTTCAAGCTCCACGGAGTGCCGGGTCTAAAAAACGGCCTGCAGAGCCACCCTCCCTCTTTTCCTTTTTCAGACTCCGCGCTAGAACGCCGAGCCTGAAAAAGGGCCAGCCAAATGTCAATTTCGGCCCCATTATATCCTATGGGCTGTTGAAGTCAATGACGAAAACATAGGGGATATTCTGGGGGTTTGAGGGAGAGGCTCCAAAATCACAGGGTAGCTGCAGGAGCCTCTCCCCAAGATACCCGCCATGTTTCAGGAACATTTAACCAGGGGGTCCAATTCTACGGGCCCCCAAACAGGTTGCCCCCATCCCCTCCATTGTTCTCTATGGTGGGAAAAAGTTACATGACAGGTTTCAAATCTGTGTCTCTTAGGTCCTAGTATGACACTCTAACCACTATTCCAGGCATATAGGTTCATATAGATTAGGGAAATTGTGAAGCCCCCTTTATATGGTAACAGAGGGGATATTTTCTACCCTCCCTATGCTGCCTATCCTTCCTGGCTTTTGGTGTGTAAACTTTGCTTCCACTGAACATCCTAGAGGTATGTTCCGTAGCTAATCTTTGTCAGGATGTTCCAATTCCTTTAAAATGTTTTGCATTGCAACCTCCATAATCTTGCTGAAGCTGGTAGACAATTTTGAGACTCCTCCTGGTTTCATTTTCTGATGAGTGTTGCCTGCCCCAAATAAAGAACCTTTGCTTCCATTGAAAATAGCATGGGGGTTGGGGGGTGGATTAGATAACATCAGCCAGGATGTTCTGATTTGTCTCAGAGTTGGCACTGCAGCTCCCACAATCATCCTAAAGTCAGTAGCCAATTTTGAGACGTGTTGCTTTATTTTCTGATGAATTATGCGTGCCATGGATGGATAAACATATTTCATTCTTATAGATTAATTATAACAACTTTTCCTTTTATGACTTGTATTTTGTTCATCCTCCAAGTATTGTTTACTAAAGTTTGAGGCCATACTATCTGTAATGGTGGCAGACCCATAACTTTAATGAGAAGGCTGTTGCACTCACAAAAAGAGTGGACGGCGTGATTTGAAGTGCAGAAACTGATCACTAGGTGGCTCATTCTAAACCCTCTCTCTGCTCATCCTTTGACTCTCACAGCCTGCTGCTGAGGTAATACATTTTTACTCAGGTTGTGATGAATAATGTACAAAATGTTTCAGAATGTCTAAAAATTTTATTTGGTGTTGGCTTAGGAATCTGACTAGATATCTTCCCAGGAAGCCCTTAGATGTCTGGGGCTGCACACATGCTACACTGACTTTCCCAGGAAAATGGTTAATGAACCTTTGCTCTATACCCAAAGAACTGGCCCTTTCCTTTCATGTCAGCTACCTTCTTGAGTGGAGATTGTTCCTTCTGCACACGGAGCACAATCATAGCAGCAGAGAGGCTCTCCTTCCTTCATCACCTTGGCTGGGAAATTGGTGTAAAACATCCAGCCTAGCCAAACAAAATAGGGTTATCACTCCTAGGAAAAGGAGGATATTCCTTACTCAGTTATTCAGAGGGTTCAACTCAGAAGGGACCTCTGGATTGAGAAGTGAATAGGGAAATGATCTTAGACTCCTCAGGAGTACAGAAAGGGAAAATTATAATCCCCAAAGGGAAGTATTCATACACAGGAAGAAAATTCTAACTTCTAGGAAACTGAAATATTTTAATGAAACTTTATTAAGACACATTGTTGCTGAAAGAAATCAAGATAAACCAATCTCTCACCGTAAAGAACTGAGTCTCTTAGAATTTAAGCTTCAAATATACTCTGTTGCTTGTTCAAGATATTCTAATTTTCTTTTAAAGAATGATAATTGTCCCCTGCCCTATTCCAAATCCAGCTGTGCCTGTTCAATAAAATCAACCTTTTTGTTTCAACTTTACTTTGTATCAAGTGCCATTTCCAAAGGATTATGTAAGAGGGCTCCTGCTGAGTACAATAAAACTCTGGCCCTGGCAAAAACCAAATAACTTCTTTAACACTGGGTGCAACACAGATAAAGTTAAAAGTTTATAATTCTAACATTCTACTAAGAGGCAGCCCAGTAAGAGTGGTGAACAGTGTTTTGGTGGGAAAATCTGCCTCACAGAAGAGAAGGAGCAGGGGTCCACCATAACATCATAGGGCATGACATTGCATCCCATGGGGCTTCCTTCCCTCCCCAAACTCCTCCCTTCCCGAGCAATGCCCCCAAATCTCCAGGAATGTCCCAAGCCTACAAAGTGGCATTTTCTCCAGGTGAACCTGGAGATCAGCTGTAATAGCAGGAGATCTCCAGCCACCACCTGGAGGATGGGAACCCTCATAACACCTCAAAACGTGCAAAGACAAGTGAATCGGTTTCATTAGGGCATTAAAGACAAATATTCTCATTTTTAAAAAGAAAATACTCAATATCAGATGGCATCTTGACGTTTTACCATTAGCTGTTCCCTTGTATTCAGATGAGGCCTCAGTATAATAATGTAGCATTTGGGAAGAAAGATGCAGCCCAGTAAGCCCAGGCTGGAGGCCAAGATAGAGAAGACCTGCACAGCCACCATGTATTTCCTCTTAGTGCTCAGGTACGTGGGCACAAAGGACACCCAAACACTGCAGAACACCAGCATGCTGAAGGTGATCAGCTTGGCTTCATTGAATGCCCCAGGCAGCTTCCTAGCTAGGAAGGCCACAGTGAAGCAGACGACGGCCAGAAAGCCCATGTAGCCAAGGGCAACATAAAACATGGCGACAGACCCTTCGTTACATTGCAGCACGATCTCTCCTGGCTGGGAGTGCATGTCAGAGTCTGGGAAGGGGGGAGAGATGCCCAGCCAGAGAGTGCAGATGCCCACTTGAATACTGGAACAGGAGCAGACAATGGAGTTGGCCAAGCTCTTCCCCAGCCATTTCCTCATCCTGCTCCCAGGCTGTGAGGCCATGAAGGCCACCACCACAGTGACAGTTTTGGCCAACACTGAAGAGACAGCAACAGAGAAGATGATGCTGAAGGCAGTTTGTCGAAGAACGCAGGTGACTTCCGTTGGCTCACCAATGAATAGCAAAGAGGAGAGAAATGAAAGTATGAGGGAGATGAGGAGAATGTAGGAGAGGTCCCGATTGTTGGCTTTGACAACTGGAGTTTCTAAGTATTTCATGAAGATTCCCAAAACCAAACTCGTGATTAAGGTGAAGAAAAGTGTAAAGATATTTAAGATGATCCCCAAAGGTTCTATGTAGGACAGGAAGGTTTTTTGTTTGGGAACACATTGGTCTTGGATCTTATTTGGATGCTGATCTTCTGGACACTTTTGACAACGACTTGCATCTGAAAAGCACATGTTTTAGTTTAATATCCACTATTGAGATCTATTGCAAGTCACATAGACAGTACAGGGCTGAAGAATCCTAAGGTTTTTCTTGGCATAAGATTTTTTCTGTGTTATCCAGATTGCAGTGGAGTAAGGGGTAAAGCAAGCCCAAAACAACAAGGTGAACCTAGAATAGACATTTTTTTTGCCACCCCTCTGCTGGCGCCAAAAACGATGTGAGTGAAACTGGGGTCTGAGGCAGCTTCTCTTCTTTTTAATTATTATCTATTATATGTGTGCCTGTTTGCTTTGCTCACCAACCCAGGCCTTTGCTGTGCTTGTAATATGTAACTGTAGGTTGCATAACTCCCTCATAGATCACTGCCTTGACGTGGCGAGGGGGCTTGTGTGGTTCGATGAGGCCGTGGGCTATGCTGTGGAGGGCAACCAACGATGGACAGGCCACAGCAGAGAACTCAGACCAAGTGTGATCCATTGGAGAAGGAAATGGCAACCCGCTCCACTATCTTTGCCAAGAAAACTCCAAGGACAGTAACAAAAGGCTAAAAGATATGATGCCAGAAGATGAACCCCTCAGGTCGGAAGGTGTCCAATATACTACTGGGGAAGAGCAGAGGGCAAGTACAAGTAGACCTAGAAAGAGTGAATCAAGGTAAGCTTGACGTGGTCAAAAATGAGATGGCAAGACTGAACATCGACATCTTGGGAATCAGTGAACTAAAGTGGACAGGAATGGGCGGATTTAACTCAGCAGACCATTATATCTACTACGGTGGCCAAGAATCCTGTAGAAAAAATGATGTGGCCTTTATAGTCAACAAGAGAGTGCAAAAGGCAGTAATGGGATACAATCTCAAAAATGACAGAATGATTTCGGTCCGATTCCAAGGCAAACCATTCAACATCACAGTAATCCAAGTCTATGCCCCAGTCAATGATGCAGAAGAGGCTGAAGTGGACTGGTTCTATGAAGACCTACAACACCTCCTAGAACTAACACTAAAAAAAGATGTCCTCATCATAGAAGACTGGAATCCTAAAGTAGGAAGTCAAAAGATAACCGGAATAACAGACAAGTTTGGCCTTGGAGAACAAAATTAAGCAGAGCAAAGGTTAACAGAGTTTTGTCAAGAGAACACACTGGTCATAGCGAACACCCTCTTCCAACAACCTAAGAGGGGACTCAACACATGGACATCACCAGATGGGCAACACCGAAATCAGATTGATTATATAATTTGCAGTCAAAGATGGAGAAGCTCTATCCAGTCAGTAAAAACATGACCTGGAGCTGACTGTGGCTCGGATCATGAGCTACTCATTGCAAAATTCAGACTTAAATTGAAGAAAGTGGGGAAAACCACTAGGACATTCAGATTTGACCTAGATCACATCCCTGATTAATATACAGTGGAGGTAAAGAATACATTTAAGGGACGAGATTTAATAGAGTGCCTGAAGAACTATGGACAGAGGTTCATGACATTCTATAGGAGAAAGCAACCACCACCATCCCAAAGAAACAGAAATGAAAGAAAGCAAAGTGGCTGTCTGATGAGGCTTTACTAATAGCAGAGGAAAGAAGGAAAAAAGGAAAGCAAAAAGCAAAGATGAAAAGGAAATATTTACCCAACTGAATGCAGATTTCCAGAAAACAGCAATGAGAGATAAGGAGGCTTTCCTAAATGAACAATGCAAAGTAATAGAGGAAAACAATAGAATGGGAAGGACTAGTGATCTCTTCAAGAAAATTGGAGAAATCAAGGGTTCATTCCATGCAAAGCTGGCCATGATAAAGGACAAAAATGGTAGGGACCTAACGGAAGCAGAAGAGATTAAGAAAAGATGGCAAGAATACACAGAAGAACTATACAAGAAGGACCTCAATGTCCTTGACAACCACAAAGGTGTAATCACTGACCTCGAGCCAGATATCCTGGAATGTGAAGTCAAATGGGCCTTAGAAAGCATTACTAACAACAAAGCTAGTGGAGGTGATGGTATCCCAGTTGAGCTATTCAAAGTCTTAAAA